TATGAAAACTACAGAGTTATTATTTGAAAACATGATCTATTATGCAAAAGAAAAAAAAAACACACACAAAACAAAAAAAATACAAAAAAACATCAAAACTTTATTGAGCAGCTGTATAGAAAATACACATAATGTTTGCTTTTAAAGCTATTGGAATAAGTTTTATGTTTTTCCTTCAAAAAGAAAAGCACATATATTTTTGTTTTCTTCTCTCTGCAAGTTGTTGCAAAATGTATTTGTTTTTTTAACAGATTTTTCTTTTTTTCCCCCTGTTGTGTAGGAATGGGTTGATATGAAACTGAGATGGAGCCCTGAAGACTTTCTGGGCATCACAACCATCCGGGTTCCATCAGACAGGATCTGGCGTCCTGATGTTGTGCTTTATGACAAGTACGTAGCATGATGTGGTGTGTGATAACTGATTTATGATATTGACACAATAAAGGTAACACTGTGCTTCAAGGGTTTTAGAGAACTGTAGTCATATAGTGACTTTCAAAAATATTTTTTTGTATTGCTGTGTTGTGTTCCTTCAGAGAGAGGGTAGCTAAGGTATAGAAGCGACTGTCTGCTCAGGCTCATGCAGAAGTTTAACCAGCAAGGAAATGGCTTAGTCCAATATTTTGGTTTTCTTTAAATAGAAATGTTTTTTTGTTTTTTACTCAGACTGTATCATTTGAATAAACTGACTGTAGGGGGCCTTGAGACCATGTGTTGTGAATTGGTGCTATATGACAATAAAATTAATTGAACTGATTGAGTTCAAAAAGGAAAACAGCCAACAGTGTTTATTCTGTAGATGTGTTAACTTACGTAAAACCAAAAATCCTGCAGAAGTTGTCAGAATTTGTAGAAGTTTTTAGATGGACTGAAAATACAGAGGCAGGGGCAGAGATGGGTTATTGCATATTTACTGTGATGATGGCAGCAGCATTAATCCAAAGGTAAACAGGCAAGCATCACAGGGACCAGAACAGAGTAACATAGGAGGAACATAGGAGGTGACTGACAGGATGGCTGAGTTCCAAACCGGCCCTAAACACTAGCCCTTCTTTTAAGTTAAAGACTGTCCCAAAACCTGTAGTAGGTAAGTCGAGTGAACAATTCAGCCCTTAAATAGTGAGTCTATTTCTGGGGCAAATGTTTGATGTCATCACAACCTAGGCCACAGAGCAACAGCCACGAACATGGGGTGTCACTTTGTTGCTATAGAGATTACAGCTTTCCTTATCCGTTGGAGGGAATAGGCCATCCCATTCCTGTTTATACCCCCTTTCTTCAGTCAAGTTGCCCGCCACAATTGTGAGTGTGACTTCATTGCGAGGAACACTCAATAGTTAAGGGGTAGTGCCTAGGGGGCATGGGATTCAGCCTAACTTAGAAAGAACTTAAATAATACAAAAAGGAAATGAGACTAAGGCCCAACCCTCCATTGTGCGTTCCCACAGAGGTTTCACCACATTAAGGGCTTTCCTAAACCCCGTAGTGAGTAGGGAGAGGAGACCGTTCAGCCCTTAAATAATGGATTGTATCAATGCAGGCTGGCTGGAATTGGTGGCAGCGGGTGTAACAAACTAATAGTGGAGGAAACATTGGCATTCAGTAAGGGACTAGAGATATCGTAGGATAATTATAACGTCATCATCTAAAGATATTTGTAAACAATGAATCATGCAAAACACAGAGTAACATAAATCAAAGCGTGACTGATTGACAAAAGACCAAAACTGAACAGAACTAAAAATAAAAAGAGCAACCGAACTTGACAGTATCAATTGCTTTGAATGGAGCCAATGTGAAATCTACCCCACATTTTACAGTTTCAGATTTAAAAAACAAGCATAATTTACCTTCCACTTTGGAAACTACATACACATAGCTGCTGCTATGAAATTATTATTATTTTGTTAGAATCCACAATTTCATATTTTAAAGAGGAACTGTAAGAGCATTACATATGTAAATTATGGTTTGTAGAGTCAGCTCTAGTGATTATGTTTAAAATAGTCTTACACATCTTGTAACAGATGACGATGATGCTTAATGGATTCAGGTATTTTAAATTGTTGTGACTATTTCTATGAGTTTAAACTTGGACATTCTTTTCTCAATAGTTCAGACGGACGTTTCGAGGGGACTGTCACTAAGGCAGTTGTTAAGTATGATGGAACCATTTCATGGAATCCACCAGCCAATTACAAGTCAGCCTGCACCATAGATGTCACCTTCTTCCCCTTTGACCTCCAGAACTGCTCCATGAAGTTTGGATCTTGGACCTATGATGGCTCACAGGTGAGTCTTTATAACATTGAATGTGTCCTGGGTGATGATTTCTTACTAATTTCATGGTATTTTGATAGGTGGACGTTCTACTGGACGACTTCCATGTGGACAAGCAGGATTATTTTGACAATGGTGAATGGGAGATAGTGAAAGCCACAGGCAGCCGTGGTCTGAGAAGCGATGGCAGCAGTTCCTATCCTACCATCACCTACTTCTTTATCATCCGCAGGCTTCCTCTTTTCTACACCCTCTTTCTCATCATCCCTTGCATTGGCCTGTCCTTTCTCACTATCCTCGTCTTCTATTTACCCTCAAACGGAGGTGAAAAGATCTCTCTATGTACCTCCGTGCTGGTGTCACTCACAGTCTTCCTCTTGGTCATTGAAGAGATCATCCCTTCCTCTTCCAAGGCAATCCCTCTTATTGGGGAATACCTGGTCTTCACCATGATCTTTGTCACACTCTCAATCGTCATCACCGTCTTTGCCATCAACATCCACCATCGCTCCTCATCCACACATCATGGCATGGCACCGTGGGTGAGAAGGATTTTCCTACACCGACTGCCAAAGCTGCTGTGCATGCGCAGCCATGTGGACCGCTATGCTTCAGCTGGAGAGCCTGAAACGGGAAGAAATGCAGGACTAGAAAAGCTAAATATCCCCACCCCTGAGCTCAGCCCTCCTCTGTACACCCATCACAACCTCCAAGCAGCTTTGGAGTCTATTCGCTATATCACCATGCATGTGGTTAAAGAAAACCAGGTCAGAGAGGTAAGTTTTAGTAAATTGCTTTACATCAAAAAAGGCTAATAAATAATAACAGCATGATATTCAGTGAAAGTCCAAATTTTCTTTGTTTTTAGCAATTAAACGCATTTTAAGAGATTACTTCTTTTTTTTCTGTAGGTGGTGCGAGACTGGAAGTTTGCTGCCCAGGTTTTGGATCGAATGTTTCTATGGGCCTTCCTCCTGGTGTCAGTTCTTGGCTCTGCTATCCTTTTCATTCCAGTCATTCACAAATGGGCCAGCATCATCGTCCCTACACATCCTGGCAGTACTCTCTAGAGGCATCCGGTTTATTCCATTGCTGATGAAAGAAAAGCACATTAGCTGCTACGACACTATTTGACATTTGAATGACTGAAAGGACCATTTAACAACATTCCTTTGCATTAGATTTTGGAGCCAGAAATAATTCCAACTGGAGATAAATACATGTTGATTTTATAACTTTATTGTAAGCTTGTTTCCAGTTTCCAGCTTGACGAGCAACAACAGAAAAAATCAATACAGATACTCCATGACAATTTCTACGGTAAATGAAACCAAAAAACGCAAAAGGGTTTCTAATTTTATTTTTCTTTTATTTGGAGGTCGTCTACATTCTATATCTTTAGATATACATGTGGTTCCTGTTTGGAAAATGATCATAGAGGAAGAACATATCATTTGAGTAAAACATGGCCTTTTTTGCTGCTTTTTTTGTTTTTTATTTTGTTCTTTTTCAGATTCTTTTCCTACAGAATAAGTAACCCTTTGGAACTGTAAAGAAAACATTTTCTTAAGTTAAAACAAGAGCCTTTTTGCAGTTTTCTTGCAAACATTCTTGTCAGGATTTGTAGTTACCAGCAATCTGCTTCTTTTCAGAGCAAATATCCTGAATTCCTGTGATGGGCTGGGTTGCATTTAAAATAACAGAGATGTTTAGACACTGTTCTTGGATGTTTTGCATATATAAAGATTTTCTTATGTTGCCTAGAGTCTTTTTACAGATTACCCATTGCCTTTTTTTGTTAGAATTTAAAATTCACATCACTCCTTTTAGCTAGGGACAGACTCTTTCTCTTGGAAGGCTATCAGAAGATTATAGATGAGCTCAGTAACATGTAAAGGAAGATGTTGACACACCAGCATGTGTTGCTATCAAACATAATGTAATCAAGATTATATAATCAAAGTTCAACCTTTCTAAAAAAAAAAACAATGCTTGGTCCCAATGCTGGGAGGAGCCAGGAGCTTTTAGCAATGCATTTGTTGCCTCTCTGTGGCTACAGATCCAAAGTACAACTACAGAACTGCAACACAACATCAGTCTATTGTGTAAGACAGCAGAAACTGAGAGATTTACTTTCTAAAAAGTACAAATATCAATCAGGAATAAACATGCAAAATCTTAGTTTCTGGAAGAAATGGTGTAAAAAAAAAAAAAAAAAATGTGTAAACTAACTTATTCTATTGAGGAAGCTCACTTGAGCTTCTTGTATCTATAATCTGGTTCTTTTGGGTATGATTTATATTTCATGACCGTAGCTCAGGGTCAGAACACATACTGACTGGTAAATCACAAACCTGTTCATCCCTCCTGCAAAAGGAGACACAATCTATCCATCTCTCGCTGGTCTCTGCTTTCCTTTTGAACAAAAAATCAAAGACTTTTAACTGATTGTCTGAAGCATAGAGCGGCCCTTAACCTAGAGGGAGCAGACTTTCAGTTTGGGAACCAGGACTTCTGAGTAAATGGAGGTGACTACATACTGAAAATAATTTGATATTATTCCTACTTTAATCACTGCATCTGTCCTGTTCTGATTTTTAGAATCTATATCTACATTTGATTATAATTTGCATTATTCCAATCTGTACAGAGTGAAAAAAACATCCAGTATCAACTAGAAACATGGACTTTTATATTGATAAAAGTCTTTGCTTAGGGTTTGATCCGTTTTCATCCTGTCACTTTTGAGGCTTGATAGATTATGCCAAAAGTGATTATGTAATTTTTACTCCTGAACGTTATAGTGAGGACGAGAAATGGTGAGTCAAACACCAAAAAGAGCTCAGGTTGTAATAACAAGGTTTAATTCAAAGCAGGCCTTTTGTACATTGCAGCTTAAACAAAGAGGCCCCTTCTTTGGGGGAAAAGTCCCTCCCCCCAAGAAAAGCCGATCTATAATCGTTCCATGCAAGCTGTTCTGGAATTTGGAATTCACTTATCCAGAGTCCAAGATGTTTCACACTTAGAAAATAAGGACCTCATAGGACCAAGTTCAGCAGGTATATGATTGTTGGTGTAAGATATATATATGTGCACAAAATTTCTTAACAGTTTCAGTATTCTGTGTAATTCTTTTTTTTTTTTTTTTTTCTTCAAGGTTTAAGATGACATCCAGGGGAAATGCCACAGCATATCTTCTCTTGTTATTTGCTGCATTTCTTTTGTGGAGACCTGGCCATGGAGGAAGGATTTTGGCCTTTCCTTTAGAGGGAAGCCACTGGGTGAATATGGAAATTATGGTTCAAGCTCTCCACTCTAAAGGACACTCTATTGATGTAGTTAAAACCAACAAAAGCTGGTATATCAAGGATGACTCTCCGAGCTACAAAAGCATCACAGTCCCAGTTGCAAGAGCCTTCAATCATGATTTCATCAACCCAATCCTGAGGAAGATTTTTGAATTAGAGAGAGGAAAGAGCTCCATCATAAGCTTCATTAGTTTGCAGTTTGAAATGTTTAATGCTATGTCCGACATGCATGGAATGATGTGCAAGATGGCTAGCAGTATGTTGGAAGATAAAAGGTTTATGAATAGTTTAAAGGCAAGGAAGTATGACCTGGTACTGACTGATCCTGCATGGGGAGCAGGTATAATACTAGCTCATGCTCTCAAACTGCCTCTAGTCTATAATGTAAGATGGGTTACCAGTGGGGAGGGCCACTTAGCTCTTGCACCTTCTCCTTTATCTTATATCCCAATGACTGGCTCAGGACTGACAGACAAAATGACTTTCATACAGAGAGTCAAAAATCTCCTTTTCTATGCTATCTGGGAATTTCAGGACACCTTTTTGATCAGTCCCCAGTATCAGGCCGTCTGTGATAAACTATTTGGCCCAGAAGTTAGACACAAAGACTTGTTACGAGGAGCAGACCTGTGGCTCATGAGAGTGGACTTTGTTTTTGAGTTTCCTCGCCCCACCATGCCAAACGTTATCTACATTGGCGGCTTTCAATGTGAACCCCCTAAGCCTCTTCCTGAGAACTTGGAGGAGTTTGTACGGAGCTCTGGAGAGCATGGAGTCATCATCATGTCTCTTGGAACCTTTGTAAGTGAACTTCCTTTAGAAGTGACTAACAAGATCGCTGAAGCCTTTGCTCAGTTACCCCAGAAAGTCATCTGGAGGTATAATGGTATCAAACCTGCCACTTTGGGAAAAAACACTTTACTGCTTGACTGGATGCCTCAAAAAGATCTTTTAGGTCATCCAAAGGTGAAAGTATTTGTCGCTCATGGAGGAACAAATGGAGTCCAAGAGGCCATTTATCATGGAGTACCAGTAGTGGGGTTACCCGTGTTTTATGACCAGTACGACAATTTGGTCCGTCTACAAGAGAGAGGAGCGGCTAAGATCATTACGTTAGCCACTGTGGACAAAGAGGACACATTCCTGAAAGCTGTAAAAGAAGTTCTGACTGATCCCTCTTACAGGATGAATATGCAGAGACTCTCCAGACTGCACAGGGATCAACCAATGAAGCCCATCGATACTGCCCTCTTCTGGATAGAGTTTGTAATGAGACACAAAGGCGCTGCTCACCTGAAAACTGAGTCCTACAAACTACCTTGGTATTCCTATTACTCTGTAGATGTTGTCCTTTTCTTACTGTTTGCTGTTGCATTGATTATGTTTTTAATAGCTAGGGCTTTCAGGTTGATCTTTCCTCCAAAATGCAGGAAAGAGAAAACAAATAAAAGGAAGAAAACATGACATGTTTCAGCTTTGGCCAATGAATTATATATATCTGCACAGTGGATTTTGGTTTTGTCCAGTTTCTACATTATTTTAAATAGCTACACTCTTTTAAATTGACCATGTAATAACTGAATGTTTATATATTTCAAAAATATCTCTTGTTTTTGTTTTATTAAGTAATTATGTAAGCTACAGCTACATTTCATTACATAAATCATGTTGGAATCTTAATACCCTCTCAATATCAGTGGCGTGTTTTATAGGCTTTTTGTGGGGTTTGTCCACATCAGGTTTTGTACATTTTATATTATTGCAGTTAAATAGCGACACCGACTGTTTAGTCTTAAAACAAAAACCACCGCAGTAAAAATTAGATGCAAAAGTATTCATACTACTTTACTTTACATTCTGTCATGAAACATCTTCAAACTGCTATGTAATTTAACAGAGTTGTATGCAGTACAATGAGGATTGTTTATAAGTAAGCTGAAATAAAAAAAAAAATAGAATTAACTGATTTTTTTTTTTCAGAAATATAAATCTCATAAGTGTGGCATGCCTTTTTGTTTTTACATCCTTACTCTGATCATTAAAAATAAAAAAACAGTACATCCAACTTTTTTTCTGTAGTCATTTTCAGTAAATATATTCCAAATGTGTGTAATATAACTTTTGGTCTCCAACACAGGTCCAGAAGACGTTCACAGGAGATTTATGTTACATACAGTAGGCCAGGTTTCTAGTCTAATCCAACGACCGATCCATCATCCTAAAATGGAAGAATGAGGGTGGATAAGGTCAGGATATAACAGAATGGCTTCTGAGAGATCTAAAATAACTCTGGAGAAGATCCACAAATTAACTGGAAGACTATTAATAGAGCAATAGTTCTGCACATAACACATAACACAAGGCGTGTTTCCATGTATGGAAAAAAAAAATCTGTTAATGATACAGGAGTTGAGAGATGATGCTTTGTGAAAATTATCCTATACTATATATATATATATATATATATATATATATATATATATATATATATAT